AGAGAGAGAGAGAGAGAGAGACGAGCGGCATCTCCTTTGAGCGCAGTGCCGAAAAGCGGTTTCGGCGACTTTTGCGTCGAGGTTGATTCCAGGAAAAACGATCCCTTCCCATGAAGATTTCGGACGGCAGGCGACTCAACCTCGAACGTTATCTCGCAGTGGTCGCACGTCAGCCTCCTCATCCCACTGAGAATCTCCCATCCCCCGATTCGTCAGTTTCCTCATCCCACTGAGAAGCTTCGCGAATTCCCCATCCCCCAGCCTCGTGCGAGAGCACCGGCGAGTTCAAAGTCATCCATGTATCGGTTGTTCGAATGCGCAATACCGAACGTTATCTCGCAGAGTCGTGCGTCGAGAATGCGGAACCTCATCCCCCCTAGGTGTCAACTTACTCGTAAGCGCGCGCGACGCAACTTCGTCGTCGTCGTCGTCCGAGGGCTAAGGAATATTCCGGAACATGCATGAACCTTGACATCGAATCTCTATAGGCGATTCGATTCCTAGAAATCTGCGAAACCTCCCATCCCCATTTTTTAACCCTTGAGAGTTTCCTATAAAAGGAGGAGCTGAACGTACCTTCGTTAGTTTGCTGCAACAATTTGGATGATACCGCATAAGAGGAAACAACGTGAGTTCGAGTACAGTTACTGTTAAGGATTATCACAGAAGTCAAACAGTTGATCGAAGCTAGAAGGGTCGTAAAAATCTCCTAATAAATTTGAATAAATTCGATATTAATTGAACGCAATGGACTTCTCGACAATTAACAAAGTGGCTCGTTTGGACTCATTTCTTCCAACGAAAAAGTTGGCGGAATTAGAGATTCAAAAGGAATACAAGATTAGTTGTATTCGGAAAATTGAAACAAAATACGGAACGAGAGTAATCGTCGACATTGAAAACAGCTTCTCGACATTTCTACCAGCGAGGGTGTCTAAAGTCTTGAAAGACGATAACAATTTGTTCCAAAACATGGTGCGTGCTGCCGACGAAGATCGACACCTCATGCGCTATCTCGGTGGGCAGTATAATTAGATTGAATTTCAATGTTTGTAATCGTGCTCTTAATACTACTATGTATAGTTAAATAAATATATACAACTTGTTATTATATCTTATGTCTTTATTCACAATCAAAAAATACATTCCAACAACAACCAATTCCTTAATAATTTAACGTTTTCCATCGAACATTGGAAATGGGAGGCATGATGATGCGAACAGCGAGTGAGTAAGTTCTTTCGCAGATTTTGCAGCGAAGGGCATCCCAGATCTCCCAGATCCGCGATGTGTTCGGTTCGTCCAATGAAAGCTCCCAACCAAACTTTCTTCTCCAATCCTTTTACATAGATCTTAGATGCATTTTGCAGAATAACTCGAAGAATGTTTCTAGCTTGATTGTACGCAATCTCCCCAGCGCTCCAGGATATACCATGAAAATTGCGCTCCAACCATAAATTTATACTTTTATACTTAGCCGGTAGATGCTTCCATGGACAAGGCGGTTGAAACAGGAACGTTGCAGGTTCGGAGAAATTGGTGTCGACTCCAATCACGGATAGCTCCTTCAGGACAAACTCGTTCGACGGTTTCTTGAAACCTTGTACGTCCACGATAAATTCCATTTTTTATGAACTGCACAGGGGGCTACGATTACAGCGTCTTTATACCAATTTCTTCACCCCACCACTGATCGGATTGTATTCCACTAAATAGCTCCTTCAGGGCGAACTCGTTCGAGGGTTTCTTGAAACCTTGTACGTCCACGATAAATTCCATTTTTTATGAACTGCACAGGGGGCTACGATTACAGTGTCTTTATACCAATTTCTTCACCCCACCACTGATCGGATTGTATTCCACTATACGATCGTGCAGGATCAGGCAGAATGCCGATGTATCGGCAGGGAAATTGTCTTGCGCTTCGAATTCCAGACGAATATCGACGGGTCCGAGTTTGAGTGACTCGTTTTGTTTGGAGCAATCGATAACGATCAACGGAGCGTACTCGAGAAATTCATTCTTCTTAAACAAAGGCTCGGGATCCTTGCCATAGTACGTAGCTTGAAAGTTTACATACATCTCGTAGAGCAGGTACGTGTGATGGCACCTCTATGATCTTGTATTCAGGTGGCACGACCGGAAAGAATTCGTGTATGGTGTGCACTTTACGTTCGTTGATGTAAGCGCCCGTCGTAACGTTGCATTCGACTCGTAGGGCGTTCACCTTGAGAATGGCGACCGGTA